AATGAATTCTGATTTGTAAACGATTATGAGCTTTTGTAATTTTTATTAAAGTTTTTGAATTAAACCATTAATAAGTGAAAATGTATTTAATTTGTGTAAAATGTAAGCAAATGTTATCACCTAAATTTAATTAAGTAGAATAATGAAATGTTCATTTTTTATCACAAAGAAAAAAAATTGATCCGCGCAGTGTGGAGTGAAAACTCCGCACTATGCAGAGTGATTACTTCGCACTATGCGGAGTGTTACTCCGCTCGCGGAGTCATGACTCCGTAGATGCGGAGTCTTACTCCGTGCAGTACAGAGTAACACTCCTCGTGTCCGCACTGTGCGGAGTATAAAACTCTGCACTGCTCCACGTAGTGTGGAGTGTTAGTCCGCACACTGTGCGGAATCATGACTCTGCGCTGCATGGAGGTGTGTTCCAAGTGTTTATTTTAATTATACAAATTTTTTTTCCCTTGATGATATCCCTCTGCAGATAATGTTTATGAAACACAAATTCAAGTGAAGTATAATATTATGGAAGTGTCAATTTCTCTCCCCTACTTGAAGCCTCTAGCAGATAAATCAAATCCTAAGCAAGGAATCGGTAAGACCATGTATGATATAAATGTTACTTTTGTATATATTTCCTTACATACCGTTACTTCATGTTCGAATAAACCAACTTTCAACTCTTTATTTTAAGTGTAGTCATGCTTTATGCATTGTTTCTAATTATCGTATTTTTTTTTTCTTTTGTTTGTTGTATATAAAGGAATATTGTGAGGTATTTTTTAGTAAGTATGCAATTCCCATTTCTAAAGAATCTTCTCAATGCATTTCCCCTCATTTTAGAAACCCGGAATTCACTTTTCCATACAATCTTCTCGGTTTTATTCTTATGTTTATTCTTTTGTTTGTTGCATATTAAGGAATACTAAAATGGTGGTGAAATACCATGAATCTCATTACCCTTTCATTAGCTGCTATTTTGCTCTTTATATGGTAGTGAAATGCTATGAGTCTACTAGGGAACTCAACGGGTTTATTGTACCATTTAGTAGAATCTTGAATCCTGTTTATGGCAGTAAGAATAAACCTTTGGTAATATTGCAAAAGGTCACGTTACAACTGATTTTGTTAATTGACTTTAATGTGTTTTCTCGACATACTGAAATTTGACCTCATGCTCGTGTAGAGCATTTTATACTTATAAGTTTGGATGCAACTTTGTTATGTTTTCATTTTTTCTATTGAAAAGAAAGAATTTTCTAAGATGAAATGTATAACTTTTTTCTTTAATAACACGAGTCAAAGTATTATTTTCAGAAACATTATCATAAGTTTTTTAAGTACACGTTTAATTGAACACAAACCAACACTTGTGAGTTTTAGATTTTTGGCACGAGCCCCGAATAAACAGATTTATTTTTTGCATTTGTATATTTGAGGATGATGATGGTTTTGATTTTTCAGTTTAATCATCAAATTTCTATTCCCCACAAACATACACAATTCTCATTCTAGCGGTCTCAAAGTATTTCGATGCTAAGATGGAGGTAAATAAAGAAAATGAGACCAAAGAGGATGAAGAAAAGGAGACTCGAGGTCTTTCTCATTGATTTTGATTTATTTTTGGTAATATTAGATTCTCGTAGATGGTAGTTGTATATGTACTGATTATTGTATTCTATTCTCTCAAACATTTTTTGATATCTATTTGTACTTTATCAATCCTTTGGTGATACTAAACGTTTGCAATTTTCTTAAGAACATCAGACTTAGTGCCTTTATTAGCCTCATTTTTAGTGTAGAATATATTTTGAAATAGTAAATTAATAAATAATATGTGGTTAAAACGAAGGAAACGTTTTAGGTTGCGTGTAATTTTTGTCGATGGATTCTTGTCGGTTTTCAAATTAATTCTTGTAATTATAAAGAAAATGTGTATAGGTAGGTAGCCTAGAGAGATCCCGTAAATAAATTCTTTCTATTTTGGACAATTATTTTGTGTATGAATACATTGTTCATAGTCAATTTGTAAAGAAAAAAAATTTGAAGATCACACATGTTGAATTCTTAAATTGTGCTGTGTTTTATTATAGGAAGTTATTTATGAAGGTTTTACATAAGAATACAAATAATTGTTTGGAGTTCCTCAATTCTGAAGAAAGTCAAGTTGGTTATAGGTTACAACCACACACAAAGTAGACAATGGAGAGTAGCTTACATTTTTTTAGTTCAATTGTTGTCCCTCCACCTTGTACCGACCAATTTTTTACATGTTACTGATAAAAATTCTATCTACACATCAAGACTGAAGAATGAAGCTTAGGGTGGTGCGTTTGATTCGGTCCAAATTCCATGGATAATGGAAAACATTTTCCATTTTTGCACTTTTCATGTGTTTGATGTGTCTTTTTTTTCTAGGGAATTCATTTTCCACCTATTTTCTAGGTACAACAATTTAATGCATGTTTGCTTGATTTCCACCTTTTTTTTTTTCTTTTTT